CCCTCTTCATAAAACTTTGTTTATTTGGAAGCGTTGTTTATCATGCTTATCAAATTCTAAAGCTGTCAAAAAGCAATTTCTTGGCAGGATGACTTTACATAGAAATAAAAAAACCCCGCACGAAATTACACAGGATTATTAACATCCTATTAAATAATTGCTTCTCTCTAAGCATTATATATTATTGTAAATAATATAAGATAAACATGTGAAAAGGAAGGACAATTATTATGTAATATCTCACGTGCATACATACTACATAACCTTATATTAAAATAAATAGATTATTTATTTATATTTATTATTACATAGATAACAAAGAAAAACACAAATCCACCTCAAAATAACGATATTTTCTACTTAAAATAAAAGCAAAAACTTTATTTAATTGCGGACATCATAAAATCTTACATAAAATTTAAGAATTGAAATATCAACGTATTTACTTTTATCTATAAATATAACTAAAAAGACAATGTTACACGATTTTGGACAAATTGTCGAATTTGCGAACGTGCGAACGACCGAACACCCGAACCACCTCGCGGTTTTTCACGTCAAAAACATGGAAACAGCGAAATCACACACGGTTCTTTAAGGTGCTTATATACCTCAAATTTCGATCAGATGAACATTATTTCTGGACCGTGAAAATGCGTGAAAAGTAATTTTCACGGCGGGTATTTTTGAATTGTTTTAAACAAAAAATGTTTTTTTAAGAAATATAATATTAAATAATTGTTTTAATATGTAAGAACACTTTAAAATAGTGATAGAAAAATGATTTGATTAAAAAATATAGCAAATTTTGCTTTAAAACGTTTCTGCTACAAGAAAGTGTAAAATGACGATGTTTGTGAAATGGTTTGTACAGTGTACATGTGTACATGTTTCTTTCAGTTATTCGAAACAATTAGTAGAATTTAAATTTATTTGATAAACATTTCAACTTACCGATTTATTTTCAGCACTCATTATTTATTACAAGTTAAAAAGAAACGACATAACATAAACAAAACTCTGAGAGACACTCACAAGGAAGAAGCACTGTACAAACCATTTCACAAACATCGTCATTTTACACTTTCTTGTAGCAGAAAACGTTTTAAAGCAAAATTTGCTAAATTTTTTAATCAAATCATCTCTCTATCACTATTTTAAAGTGTTCTTACATATTAAAACAATTATTTAATATTATATTTCTTAAAAAAACATTTTTTGTTTAAAACAATTCAAAAATACCCGCCGTGAAAATGACTTTTCACGCATTTTCACGGTCCAGAAATAATGTTCATCTGATCGAAATTTGAGGTATATAAGCACCTTTAGTTTTCGAGGCTAAAATGAATCGAGCATAAACTTGGTTTTGTGGTGGCGCGTAGAAGCTTCCGTAGTGCTCCGTATTCGTATCTTACGGAAGCTTTGACGATGCTTATTTGTTTTGATTGCAAATCCAGTATAATTATTTATTGTTATTACCGTGTTTTAATATGTGAAATGACATCAAATGTAAAATTACCTGATATACTTAATCAAACAATATTCATATTCTTGATAGAGTTTATTAAAAAATTGGATTTTAAATGTGCTTCCGTTTTACTAGTTTAAGGTTAATGTATGATCGTTTTGTTAAAAACAAAATAAAAAAATTATTTCTGAAAATTTTATATTTATTCTGTCATATTATATACATATATCTGATGATATAAATTATTTACAAAGAAAATATTAAAAAATAGAGAAATATGTTACTGATAAAAAGGTTTCAAGATAAAGTTGACTTTTAATACGTTAAATAAAAAATAACAATATTTCTCAAGTTTTAAATAATAACAATATATGTATATTTAACAACATTAAAACAAAGAAAATGAAAGAAATGAAATTATTATCTGATTTTTAACTTGTAATTTATGTAGAAACGAATTTAAATTTTAAGACTTAAACAAATGGATAAACGTAAACATTTTTGCATTTATTATTATTTAATCACTATAAATAATATTCTATCGATAATGTTAACCAGTACCTATAAAAATCTAGTTATGCTCATAAATTAATTTTTATTTAAGGGGCCATTCATTAATTACGTAAGGCTCTTAGGGGGAGGGGGGGGTCCAGCAATTCTTACGTTCAATAGAAAAAATGGCGCTAATGCATGTAAAAAATCTTACGTGGGGGGAGGGGGGGGTCAAAATAGCCAAAATCATCCTTACGTAATTAATGAACGACCCCTAATTGCTTTGTTACATTTTATGTCATTTCATTTATTAAAACATGGTAATAACAATAAAATAATTATACTGGGTTTGCAATCAAAATAAATAAGCATCGTTAAAGCTTCCGTGAGATACGGATACGGAGCACCCTACGAGGCACGCACGAGTGAGTCGATTCAATCGTGCTTCGATAGGTGTTTTCGGGAGTTGCTGTGAGTATTGGGATATCCGCTGGGGGCGTGGCTTAGCATATTATCCTACGTTCAGTAGTACCATTTTTCACCACTATGTCTGAAAGTTACTCTGATTGGTTTAAATTGGACAAAAATTGACAAACATCCTACTTTCAAGGGTTAAAAATGTTTTCAACAGAGTGCGCTTCACAGTAACGGACATCCCAATACTGTCAGTATGTTGTGATTAGCTGATCTGAGCTGATCCATCAGCATGTTTATTCTGATTGGGTAATTTTTTACTGTCAGTATACTGTCATCAACTCCCGAAAACACCCGATATGTGCCTCGTAAAGCAAGTGAGTGCTTAGTCGTGGCGCATAGAAGTTTTCGTAAACTTCACCCTTAAGGCGCTTGTATACCTCACCGATCCACTGAACTCTATATATCTGGAATGCTATCTGCCATTGAAAGTCGCGAACCGAGAGAGAGGGCTGATTCTTGTATTCCCCTCTTTGTCGGTACAGGTCAATTAGAAAATATTTAACAGTATGTATACGTGAACATGACATAACAGAGTTAACAGTAAACTTTTGGAACGTATTGTACTACGCCTGCGCAGTTTAGCAAGAGAAGGAGAGGGATACTCTCTCGGTTCGCGACCATCAATGTCAGACAGTATTCCAGATATATAGAGTTCAGTGCACCGATCTCCAGTATACTTGCGTCGTGTACCATTAGTACGGAAGTACGGAAGCCTGTACGGCTCACGAGCGTCTCGGACGCAAGTGGCGGTGTTTCGTACCACAAGTGGTACGAAGTCCGTCCAAGTCCGTTTAATGTTTTTGAATAAAAATGAATTTGTTATTTTTTAATTGAAAATATATGTAAAAGATTACATTTCAGTGTAAACAAATGATATTGACATCTTTATTAATCCTAAATATTCATAAAAATGTACTTTTAATTTTAAAAAATAAAATCCTCTTCATGTATTTTAAATTAAAAAATGACAACATAACCAAAAAATCTTATTTTTATTCTAAACTAAGAAAAAACTTCCGCTTAATTCTTAGTGGAATCCGTAGTTTATTAATATGTATATTTACGTTTGGAAGGAGTATTTATGTGTGAACTATAAAAAGTTTGTTCGATGACATTTACTAATATGCTAATATTACTAATATCTTATAAAATTCATTTCTTCTTCTTCACATGAAATTGAAATGAAAAGCACTCACGAAATAGATAGGGTAACGGCACCAGTGAAGGAACTGACACCAGTGAAAGAACAAATTTCATGTTTTGCATTCTAATTAGTGTAATAAGCAATTTGGTATTATAAATTATATATTTTTATGTTCCTTATTTAATTTACGTCTTTAGTATCTAAGATACCTAGAGAGTTAACACGTAAATTTTATAAAAAAAATTTTTTAAAATGTTGTGTTGCAAATTTATCTTCAACAATAAGAACTCTTCTCTGACACGTTATTTCTTTTTTCACATTTAACTAATTTAAACTGCCTAAAATCGTCGGTCTTCTTTAAACTAAATTTATCTTGTGTATTAGAAATACTTCTTTTCATTTAAAAGCTAATAAAATATTAATTTGCCATAAGAAAAGCAAATTCCGTCATTGGGGTTTTTTTTTTTTATTTACTAGTGAAAGAACAGAAATGTTTTTTCACTGGTTCCAATGCAATCCAATGAAGGAACACCTTCAACGAATAGTCTGAAGTCAAACAAAAAAATGACAAAATCAAATAGGTTAACACTGTTAGGTTACAATAATATTGTCAAAATAAATTGCAAGTAGATGATTGATTGTAGGTTATAAATGCATTTTCAATTAAAAATAAGATTCTGCAAACTTAGTTAAAAAATATTCATAATTATCATTAATTTACCTTTATTTTAGTATATTACAAACATTTTATTACTTTATCTTTGTTTTAATATATTTTTTAAATATATTTTAAATATATATTTCACATCGTTCTTTCACTGGATGCAGAAAATTCTTTCATTAGACAATTTGTTCTTTCACTGGTGAAATAGGTATGTTTTACTTATTAATTAAAATTTTAATTAACATCTTATATTTATGAAAATTAAATGTGACCTTCGCATTCTACACTTAATTAGCTATCGAAAAAAAATTGGTAAAAAAATTTTCAATAACTGCATTCAAAAATAATAAATGATAAAAGTATGCATTTCCTTAAATGTTCTTTCACTGGTGCCGTTACCCTAGCAACAGGATCCAACGGAATTGTCATATTTGTGAATGACCCTTCAAAAAATCCACTTTCCACAAGTGGCACGGAGTCTGTCCAACAAGTGGCACGAACTAACGAACTTGCCACAAGTTGGACGGACTTCGTGCCACTTGTGGTACGAAACACCGCCACTTGCGTCCGAGACGCTCGTGAGCCGTACAGGCTTCCGTACATTAGAGTAAAAGAGACGGAAATATCTTTTGTCTCTTTTACTCCAATGGTACACGACAGAAGTATACTCGGGATTGGTGCGAGGTATACAAGCGCCTTTAGTCATAACGGAGAGATGCCTGTTTTGTTGCAACTATGGTCGAATCTCACTCAGCTGTTTCCCTTCTTCTGATTTTGGTTGTTCTGACACATTGTTTTCTCAAAAAGTCATAAAAGAAGAAAAAGAAATAAGTCCACGTGCTTAAGTTTAAACTATTATGGGAAATGACAATTCTGAAAATGGATTAATATACTTTTGGGAAAATTTAAAGGACCATCCAAAATGTGAACACGGTATTTAAAAATAAATTAAATCTTATAAAATTATAGGATTTTTTTGTAATTACACGTTCTAATAAATAGGTATTATTATAGTATGAGTTGAGGAAACATTTTCATTGAAACAGAGTTTAGGTTATATCTTTTTGTTTGTAAACAAACTTTCACTCTATGCTAAAAATAATCTCAGAAATCCTGACGTTTTATGATGATGCTGCTGACTAATTCTGACTAAAATCGTTTTTATGGGCACATTTTCTAAAAAGTGACAATTTCTCATTACATTTTATACAGATATTTTTTTCGTAAAAAGGGTTCCAAGATTACTCTGACCCATCATAAAACTATTATTTTAAGAAAGCCATTAAATTTGTAAAAAAAAAAATTTTCTTCATTTTTGATATTGATATGAAAATGAGATATTTAGGATATTTTGATAAATTTTTATAATATTAATAATTTAGGTTCCTTTAAGGGACAAAAAAAATCCTAAGTATTTTTAAAAAATTTCTAAATAATGCAGATTTAAAATTTTTGTAATTTTTTTTTTTGATTTATTATAATTTCTGTAATTTTTAACCAACCGGGATCCGAATTTTTTTTAAACACTCGTATTTAGAAGCTCATTTATGAAAAAAAATTTTAATTTTTATTAAAAAAACACTTTTAATTGTTTAAATAATTCAAAAAGTATATCTTCTGTTTTTTCAAAAAATTCATTAACATTTTCTACAATGTCCTGAAAAATTTAAAACCTTGAAAAAGATGGTATGTCTTGTAGTTTCCGAGAAAAAAATTATTTAGTTTTTGTCATTGTAAACTATATAATTATTTGAGGCATTTCATATGAGAATATAGGGTCATGTCTCGGATTTTTTTCAAAATTCGGTAAATTGTAGTGATAGTGGTGCTAAATAAGTGTACAAATTTTGAATTTGAAATTTTTAATATTTTTCGAGATATTTACAATAACAAATTAGTGCAATATTTTTTTGCTTTACTTATAACTTTTTTCCTATTAAAAATAGGGAGAAATGTTCAGAATATTTTTTAAACAAATTGTTTAAATAATTTTTATTTTTTAGAAAAAAATATTAATTTTTAAACAATTTGTTTAAAAAATAAAATTTGTTTATAACCTTTAAACATGTTCTGCCTTATTTTGAAGCGCGATAAAAATCATGAATATTGTTAAAGTCATAATAAATCAATGGTTAAATTTTTGAGATAGCATTATTTTTTGTTTTCGAGATATTAATTAATTAACTAACAAAAGTTAATAAAAAATGAAATATTTTACGAACAAATAAAATTAGAATAATTTTAAAAATACCATTCCAATGTTTATCGAAATCCGCATTCAACAAGCCCTGTATGAACTATTTTGGATAAACGGGTGTTAAATTAATAATTAATAATAAAAATTATTTAAATAATTTTGCGTAAAAAATATTCTAAACATTTCTCCCTATTTTTAGTAGGGAAAAGTTATAAGTAAAGCAAAAAAAATATTGCTCTAATTTGTTATTGTAAATATCTCGAAAAATATTAAAAATTTCAAATTCAAAATTTGTACACTTATTTAGCACCACTATCACTACAATTTACCGAATTTTGAAAAAAATCCGAGACATGACCCTGTATTCTCATATGAAATGCCTCAAATAATTATATAGTTTACAATGACTTCACGCGCTACAAAAACTAAATAATTTTTTTCTCGGAAACTATAAGACAGACCATCTTTTTCAAGGTCGTAAATTTTTCAGGACATTGTAGAAAATGTTAATGAATTTTTTGAAAAAAATAGAAGATTTACTTTTCGAATTATTTAAACAATTAAAAATGTTTTTTTAATAAAAATTAAAATGGATATAAAATTCGATGCTTCTAAATTTCTATCATTTAGAATATCGAACAAATAAAATATCGACCACTTTAAATGTCGTTCATTTAAAATATTTACCAAACAAAATATCTAACTAATACAATTTCGACCACTTTAAATGTCGATCATTTAGAATTTCGACAAAATAAAATATACTCTAAATAAAATGTCGACCACTTTAAATATCGACCATTTAGATTTTCGATCAAATAAAATATCGACTAAATAAAATGTCGACCTTCATAAATGTCGGTTATTTAGAATTTCGACCGAATAAAAAATCGACTGAATAAAATGTCGACTTTCATAAATGTCTATCATTTAGAATTTCGATAAAATAAAACATTGACTTAATAAAATATCGACCACTTTAAATATAGATCATTTAGAATTTCGAATAAATAAAATATCGACAAAATAAAATGTTGACCATTTTAAATATCGATCATTTAGAATTTCGTTCAAATAAAATATCGACTTAATGTAATTCGATCAATTAAATTTTCGACCTTTTCAATTTTTGGGGAAAATCATGGGCCTCTTTAAAAAAAATTCATCCCTATTGGTTAAAAATTACAGAAATTATAATAAATCAAAAAAAAAAATTACAAAAATTTTAAATCTGCATTATTTAGAAATTTTCTAAAAATACTTAGGACTTTTTTGTCCCTTAATGGAACACAAATTATTAATATTATAAATATTTATCAAAATAACCTAAATCGGTGCGATCACTTGACTTGGAGTCGCTCTTACACCTACTAAAATTACCTTTTTTATATTATCTTCTTCTAATAGAAGGGTCCATTCAAGGGTCTTTAAGGTTTTATGACTTCCCAACCAGCACGGTATATCCCCTGAACATCCCTTAAATACCACCGTGGAATATTCCCATGATCTTCCAGAAAAATCGAAGTGTCCGTCTCATGGGAATATTCCCGGAATATACCGTGCTGCTCGGGTTTTTATTGCAAACTAAATTTTTTTTAAATATTGTTTGAAATGTTATATTTGTAATTTTCAGATTTAAATAATTTTAATTTTAAATTAATTTAATTTTAAACCCACACAGCACATATTATTTCCTAAATATTTTTGAAATATTTCATTAAAAGATTTGAAATATTTCAATAAAAAGTTCTTGAAATATTGTTGCAAACAGGAAAACAGCTGTAATATTTTGCTTCAAATATCAAGCAGGAATATTCTCTGTGTAATTCAGTCAATATAATGTCTGCTTCCTGTCCCTACTGAAAATTCCGACACCGTTTCCTACGCCGCATACGCATCGTAACATACGGATTCGACATGGGATCCGCAGTCGGAAACGACGCAATCCGTAGCCGAGATTTAGGATCGTTTCCGGCGTCAGACCGTCATTGGATCCGACGTCGGATATTTATTTTAAAAATTTAATTTTGTTTATTAAGCAATTTTTATTTAATGTAAATTATAATTCAATAAATTATTTGTTGCGGCAGTATGTAAGATATAAAATTTAATTTTATATTCTATTTTAAATTAATTTGAATCAATTTGAAATAATCTTAATATACTGGACACCAATTTAAGAATGCGGAACTAAGCATTTATTTTGTCGCGCAGGAAAGGAACTCGGGCATAGATCCTAATGAATTTTATTCCATGCTGAAGATACAATTTCAGCTGTAAACATTATTTTCATTTATCGTGATTTTCAGGAAACCAAAGTTAAATGTTTGTTACTTAAGCATGATGATAATATAATTGAAATCTAAGAATACATCGACTAATGAAGGGTTGTAATTTTTATAACCTTCATTGGTTGATTATTTTTCTAATTTAAACATAAATGGTATCTATCGCTTTTAATAATGTCACTGCAAGGGTCGCGACTATTGCAGTACACTAGTAACCTTGCAGTGACATTGCTGATGTCTTCGTGAGTTCTTAGCAAACCGCAATTTGGGAAGGTTGTGGTATCAAAATTAAGCTTCAGGATAATATTCTAAAGCTAATGCACCACTTGCAATATTCCGGAATTTTAAACACCGAAGATACAGCACAGCATTGTGCGAGAGAGAAAAGAAATTGTACACTACCGTCCGAAATTGTGCGAACTCTGCTTTTTCAACAACTATAAAACTGTTCAAATCTTCAAAAATATTAAAACTAAAATTTTTTCCTCTTTATTTTATTAAAGCTAATAAAATTCTGAAAGAAATGACACCTTGACAAAGAGAATATGTTAATTTTTCAATTAGATATCTAAGAAAAACCCAATTTTCAATGTTTTTACTATTTTTTTTATTTCTCTGGCAAAAATTAATATTTTTAAACGTTCTTAGGCTCATTGAAATCGTATTTTGTTATGCAATTCAAATTATATAAAACAATTCATGTACACATTCTTCCCTAGCGTATGCAAACCGTGAAAGTTGGCTCATAAAATGTCAAAAAATTTAAATTTAATTCTACAATAAAATATAATGTTTAAAAATCAAGTAAATATATCATTCTAAACTTCTCTGATTTATGTAAGTAAATTTAAGATTTATACATTTTACTGATCATTTTTTGTCATATAAATATTAATCACAATTTTTTGACATTTTATGAGCCAACTTTCAGGGTTTGCATACGCTAGCGAAGAATGTGTACATGAATTGTTTTATATAATTTGAATTGCATAACAAAATACGATTTCAATGAGCCTATGGACGTTTAAAAATATTAATTTTTGCCAGAGAAATAAAAAAAATTGTAAAAACATTAAAAATTGGGTTTTTCTTAGATATCTAATTCAAAAATTAACATATTCTCTTTGTCAAGGTGTCATTTCTTTCAGAATTTTATTAGCTTTAATAAAATAAAGAGGAAAAAATTTTAGATTTAATATTTTTGAAGATTTGAACAGTTTTATAGTTGTTGAAAAAGCAGAGTTCGCACAATTTCGGACGGTAGTGTATGTAATGGCGAAGCGTTCTCTCTTACATACATTGTTCTCGCGGAGTATTGCGTTCTCCCTCTGTCGCATGGTTTTTATCTTACTCTTTTAATTGTCTAATGCAAGGTGGATGCTGGCTCGTTCGCACTCGATACAAATAATCATTATTATAGTTATATAATGTGTAGTATAATATTTATA